GTACGAATGAGAGCATGACTTCTTTAAACACGTACAAAAATGCATTGGATTTTGTATTCAACCAAGAATCTATATATGTTTCCTTTCTTCTTTGTCTCCTGTCCCAACTATATCTGTAAGGTTATTGTTGTTTTTGTTGTTAAGTGCTGTAGAGTAGATTCTGCTCATAGGGATTCCAAGGAGCAGCTGGTGGGGTTGAGCTGCCAACCGTGTGGTTCTGAGCCCAGTGCTGATCATATAGTGACACACCAGGAGGTCCACACAAAGCAGGACAAACAGACTTGAAATTTAGATTCAGACAATACCCACTGACCACTGTGGGTGATGTTTACATCCATTACTAGTGGATGATTTTATTCAAATCCTCCAAAGAAGACTGTTGTGAAACAATAGATCTAGTCCATTCACTTCACCTGTGTTGCAGAATCTTGTCATATTAATTCTCCTGTGAAAATGAGTCTCATAGAAATTGATGGTAACACAGGAAGCTTCTCTTTCTCTCTCTCTCTCTCTCTCACACACACACATACACAGAGACAAAGCATCTAAAACTATATAAGAAGGTGTTCACCCCTGAGACCAGGGGTTGGAATAGTTTGTGAGGAGTACCTCTACATTTTATTTTTTTCTTTAAAATAAAACACACATGCAGAGAAGAAAGCATCTCCACTTGGAATGAGAGAAACAGCAAGTCCAAAGTAACAGTTTGGACTAGGAAGTCTACTTCTGGGGCCTGGATGGAAAGGATATTGTATTCCTTTGGCTGGATCTGTTTTGCCATATGCTCCAGCTGAGTGAGTGAGTTTTCATTTCTTTCTCAAAGAACATCATTTTGAGTTCATTGTACCCAACTGTCATGGCTGTTTGCTGCTGTGGGATCATTGACTACATCTGTGGGAATAGATGGTAGAAAAGCTCCATATCATCAGCCAAGAAAAGGCCAGGGCAGACTGTGGAACAGACCATCAATTGCTCATATGCAAGTTCAGGCTGAAGGTAACAATTAAAACAATACATGAGATCCAAAATATAACCTTGAACATATCCCCCTGAATTTAGAGACTATCTCAAGAATAGATTTGATGCATTAGATACTAATGACCAAAGACCAGAAGTGTTGTGGGATGACATCAAGAACATCGTACAGGAAGAAAGCAAAAGGTCATTAAGAAGTAAAGAAGGAAGGAAATGACCAAAACGGATGTCAGAAAAGACTCCGAGACTTGCTTCCAGTGTAGAGATATATAAGTAAAAGGAAGAAATGAGGTGACCCTGCTGGCATTTAAAATGCTAGGGACATAACTTCTAGCATCACAGCAACGTGCAAACTACCACAGTACAACAAACTAGCAGAGGAGTGGTGGTCAGGATACATAGCTCTCTACTATTTCCTCTTCCACTATCTTGTTACTTTTATAAAGACCAAAGTGCTCCCTTCTTACAACAAGCAATAATCTAATAATCATCATCTAATCTAATCAACTTCACTGAATTTGAAACTGACTGCCTAGGGACCAGTTAGTTCTCTTCCCTTTAAATACAAACATCTGACCAGACATTGATTTTAAGTATCCCAACAACCAAAATCTTAGCACGGTTTTTACTAACTTCCTGACTTACTTCTATATAATCCAACTTCGTTTTTGTTTTTGTGGCTAAATTAATTTGAAAAAATGCTCTCTTATACAATCCAAATGGTTTCCTGGAAAAGTGCTTTAGTACTGAGATGCTGGGGTATGGTGAGAATATGGTAAGAACATGATGGGAACATGGCAAGGATGTGGCACATGTGGGGCTCCCTGCAGAAGGTATATTTACATCTTGGAGCCCCTCAGACCCAGTGGACTGGTTGAGCCTCCAAGCCAAGGATCTGGCCCAGCAATGAACTGTGAAAAAGGTCTTTTGGACCAGCTCCTGTAGCTCAAGGATGCAGAGGTAGGTCCTGATGTTCTCCATACCCTGCTGGGATGGTTTGCGACCTGCCCCCATCTCCCAGGACAGTAAACAGGTTTGTTTCTGGGGAGAACCCACCTAAGAAATCAAAGAACTTAGGCATCAGAACTTGGGCTAACCAAGGCAAAACTGAGTCTTAGCAGGTCCTCCTATTCCTTCAGACAAAAGAAATTTGTTGCTAAAAGGTAGTTGATTTCTTCTCTTTTCTGATGTTCATTTAGAGAAGGGGTGGGAAACATCCAGCCTGTGGGCCTTAGGGCCTTATAAGGGGTCGTTTGGTCTGGCCCTGTCAAGGCAACCATAGATTCTCCCAGCTATCACAATATAGCAGGCTAATTTTTAAGTTAGTGATTTTGTATGGCCAGCGAATAAGGTTATAAATATCCAAATGGCCCTTGGCAGGAAAAAGATTCCCCATCCCTGACTTAGAGTGTACAGTGTGATGGTGACAAGAGGTGCTGGTGTACAAAGCCTCAAGGGGGTAAATGGACACTTGCCTCCTTCCGACTACTTTAGCTGTCTGTGACGTATTCCCAGTTGCCATCAAGTTGGTTCTGACTCATAACAACCCCATGTGTGTCAGAGTGGAACTGTGCTCCACAGGGTTTTCAATGAAGGATTTTTCAGAAGGAGATCACCACACCTTTCTTCTGAGGCCCCTCTGGGTAGACGTTAGCAATTTAGCAGGTAAACTAAGTTGAGTTAGCAATTTAGCGGGTATACTGCACCATCTAAGAATCCTGACTGTCTTTAATGATGTTTGTTAAAACAAAAGACAAAAAGAAAATTCCACATGGCCATATGTATTTGTCAAAACATACAAAACTATACACTTAAAATAGAGACATTTTATTGTATGCAAATTACAAGTCAGTTCAAGCTCACCATCTGCTCTTTGGAAATCCTATACAGGGTTGCTGTGGGTCTGAAGCGACTTGATGACACTTAACAACAACAACAACAACAGCAGTTGATCTGGGGAGCACAGTGACTCTGTATGATAAGCACTGGACTGTGAGCCACAAGGTCAGTGGTTCCAGTCCATTAGCCACTCTACTGGAAAAAGATGAGGGTTTCTGCTTCAGTAGATTTACAGCCTCAGAAACCCTCTATAGGGCCACTGTGAGTTGGCACTGATTCAATGGCACTTAATAACAACAACAGTTGATCTGGATAAACAAAACAAAAAGTCACTGTAAAACAGCACACATGAAATAACATGCCAATATTTATAGTGGGGAACATGATATAAAAGAGTCAATGAAATTTGCTGATGACTAAAATATCAACACTCATGGAAGCAGCAGTCAAGAAATCAAATGGCACATTAGGCAAATCTGATGTATAACACCTCTTCAAAGAGTTTAAGAGCAAAGATATCAGTTCGAAGACTAAGGTGCACCTTAGTCAAAAGCCATGGTATTTTCAATAGCTTCATATGCATGTAAAAGTAGAACAGTGAATAAGGAAGACCATGGAAGAATTGATGCATTTGAATTATGGTGTTGAAGCAGAATATTAAAAGTACCATGGACTTCTAGAAGAACAAACCAATCTGTGTTGGCTCACATTCTCCTTTGCACTCTGTGCCTTAGAGCCCAGGATGGATCCAACAGTCAGCTCAGTACCCACAGCACCCTGGAAACTGATCTTCAGTTTGATACAGAGCAAGACAGGTCTTGTCATCCAATGCCCTAGACTACAGCTAAAGGTGGAGGAGGTAGAGTCCTAGGGTTTTTTTTAGAAGAAGGTGGGTCCCAGACGTGTTGAATTCACCTACTGATAAGAACACACCTATAGTATTATGTTTTGGAATCAAGGAGTATCAAGGGACTAAGATGGTGGCAACTGTTTCTGTAATTTCCTAAACAGCACAACCTAAGCCAATTCTCTAGAGTCTGTGACTGAGGGACAAAAGTCTGATGTTGCAATCAGTACTCACAGCACTGTGTCTGATGTGTCACTGTAAGATAAGCACTGGACTACTAACCATAAGGTCAGAAGTTCAAACCACCAGCTGCTCCCAGAAACTCTAAACCAGGTTGCTATGAGTCAGAACTGACCCAATGGCACACAGCAACAGCAATCTACGCTGTATGAGGCACTGCAGAATCATGGGGAACTACTGTTGCGGTACTCACCGAATTGAGGGGGAGGTGAGAGACAATCAGAACAAACAAAATACTTAGACCAGGACAGTGTTTTAAAGGAACTCAACAGGGAATTAGATGCAGACCAACAGGGGCTGTGAATGAGTGTGTGAATCTGCATGCACACAGGAGGTAAACAAATCCAGTCATTGGAGCCTGCCACGCTTTGCGTTTATAACTTGTTCCCTCTGCCTGGAATGCTCTTCACCTAGATAACCATGTAACTCACTCTCTCATCTCCTGCAGGTCTTCATTCAGCAAAAGTCATCACCTCCTCTAGGAGACTTACCCTGGGCCATCCTACCTTAAAGCAGAAGTCCTACATCTTCTCTCTTTTTACTCCTAGGGATTTCTCACTCTTGGATACAAATTTTATTTACTCACTTATATCTCTTTCAATAGAATGTAAACTCCATGAATGCAGAGACTTGAAAAAACAAAACAAATATTTTAATTTGGAAATAGTTCCAAATTTTTAGAAAAGTGTAAGAATAAGAATCATATGAAGAATCAGAAACCCTTTACTTTCTTTCAATCTTATAACCTCCCCAGCACAACACCCATATATTTTTCCTGACCCAATTTGAGGCTCAGTTATACACCATGACCTTTCACTGCTAAATACTTCACTGTGTCTTACCTAAGAGTAGAAATACTCTCTCACCTAGCCACAATATAATTACCAACTTCAATCAGTAATACTATTATAAGACTTTTACAGAGGAGCCCTGGTGGAACAGTAGTTAAAGCAGATGTTTTCCTCTGTTTTGTTCAATGTTATACTCCCAGCTCCTAGACTAGTACTTGGCACACTGTAGACACTCAGTAGCATTGGTTGACTTAATGAATGAATAGTTTGCCCTAGTGTTCCCGTCTCTCATGAAACAGACTTTTGGTTTACCAAACTTGCAAGTAGTTATAATAATGTACTTTTACCCTCTGAATTTCTTCTGCTGGCACGCCTCAAAGCCGGGCATAAAGGTAAAGATGCTCTCAGCCTGTGAGCAGGTCATCAGTTGCATCAAACTGAGGACAGTGGCCCATATTTTAATGGACTTCAGAAATGTTGGTTAAAATACTAGAAGAAGAAAGAACAAGTTATGAGTTTCATCCATAGAACACAGAGGGGTGAGCAGAGCCTGGACAAACTTCTGTCAACAGAATAAGGAAGCAGCATCTCTTTCTGCTTTAATTCAGAAATATTTGGAAATATTTCCAAAGAGTACAAAATTTAGGAATTAAGCAGGGGTCCTTTGGTTAGAAAGTGATGAATTTTCAACTTTGAATCCAGTCAGCTCTTTGAAAGTTTGAATACACATTATCCAAAGGGCAACTTTATTTACAATTGAATCACTGTACATGTGAGTTTAAAAACAAAGAGACAATTAGGTTTAAGAAAATAATGAGTGGTTTTTATTCCTTTCAAATGTTTAAGAAGTAGATAGAAAGAAAATATCTTGCTTTGAAGAAAGAAAAAGAAAACTGTTCCCTTATTGCTTTGGGTCTACAAATAAAGGATGATTGTAATAGGACAGAACACAGATAGGCCATACAGTTCCCCACAGTGACAAAAGTCACTTCGTGTATAGCTGGACAAATTAAAACTATCCAGGGAAGCAAGAAAGATACATCACCAAATTCACAGGAACTCCAATCCTATGTCTTAAACCTGTAGTTTCTTTCTAACTTCCAGCTCAGTTTTATCTCTGGACTTCAGAGTTGTATCTCATTTGGCAAAAACATAGTACCTCATGGTAAATTCCTGTTTCAGCACCCATATCATTCCCTAGTAACTCATTTTGTTATTATAATAATCAAGTAAGGTTAATCTGTTGATGGGGTAGATCCAGTAACGACGTGATTTCATTCCCGCCAGTTCTGTTGCTCCAGACCCAATAGAAATGGGCACGAGAGGCCATGGACTCAGTTTCATGCGGTCTGAACAAGTAAAGGGTGCTCAGGACTTCCCCCAGCCCAGTCCATAGCTTTCAGGTGGAGGCAGGGTCCTGGGAAGATGTCAACAGCACCCAGCTCGATTTATAGACCAGAGTACATCTAATGTGTGTAAGGATCAGTCAGGACAAACACAAGCAAGCAAGAGGGCATGCTCCCTGTCCAGTCCTTAGAGAACTAATCTGTCTGACACACCTTATTCCAGAGAGCAGCAGTCATCCTTCAGAACCAACAAATGCCTGTTTTCCCTATATGCTCCTTGGTCCAGCAAAGCTAGGCATCAGTGCAGAAAAAGCTGTTACAGGTGAAGACCCCAGAAGGCCCTTGAGCCAGCATCCATCTACAAGCTCAACACAGAGAACTGATGCTTCATCTAGGTTGGTTCTTAAAAAAGTTGATGGAAAAATGGAATGAAAAGATAATGCAATTTTTTAATGAACTTTAAAAAACCCCAATAGTATATATACTCATCATGGTGTGGCATATAGAATAAAGTGGTGAACCACTAGGTCAGTTTGAACCACAAGGTTGGAGCTTCAGATCCACGAGCCATTCCTTGGAAACCCTATATAGGGTTGCTATGAGTCAGAACCAAGTCAACAACACTTAACAACTACAACAAATATATATGTATATATTTATATATGTAGTCCTGCTGTGGCACTGTAGGATAAGCACTGGACTGCTAACCCCAAGGTTGGCAGTTGAAACCCACCAGACATGCCTTGGCTACCCTATACAAAGTCACTATGAGTTGGAACTGACTCGATAGCACTTACAAATAGCAATATATACATGATAAACACACACACATATACATACATACCAGAGGGCTTCAAAAAGTTCATGCAAAAGTGTAATTAAAAGACAATGGAATTTTCCCACAAACTTTTTGAAGCCCTCTAATGTGTGTGTTTAATGAGACAAGATGGCGGATTGGGTAGACGTGCAGTGAGGAACTCCATCACCAACCACACAGAATACCGGGCCAAGCAGTCTCCGTGGCTTGTCCCAGAACTCTGAACCACATATAAAGGAATATTTAGAAGTTTGGAAGGCTTACAGCTAGGGGAATTTGTAGCAGAATCAAGAAATCCATTACTTTCTAATTTAAGATGCTCAGCTGTTCCCGGAGGCACCATCTTGGGAGAGACCAAGGAGTGGGGTGGGGGTGGGGGGGGGCAAAGGATCAGAGCAGCCACGAATGCCTGACAGAACCTTGGAGATACAGGTGCAGACATTTTTTTTTTTTGGTATCTGTTCATTGGTCTCTCACTGTCTGCACACCTCCATTCTGGTGACTAGAGGGGATGCCTGAGTGAATGGACACCCCACTCCCTCCCCTGGAGGGTTCTAGTACGCATGTGAACAGATCTCAAAATTTAAAGTGACAGTTCAACTTAAAATCAAACAGTCACCACTCGTCTGTCAGTTTGTCATACTGTGGTAGCTTGTGAGTGGCTGTGATTCTGAAAGCTATACCACTGGTATTTTAAATACCAGCAGGGTCACCCATGGTGGACAGGTTTCAGATGAGCTTCCAGACGAAGACAGACTAGGAAGAAAGAGTTATGAATTACTTCCGAATATTTAGTCACGGAAAACCTTATAAATAGCAGAGAAACACTGCAAGATATAGTGCCAGAAAATGAGCCCCTCAAGTTGGAAGGCACTCAAAATGCAACTAGAGAAGAGCTGCCTCCTCAAAGTAGAGCTGACCGTGATGACGCGAATGGAGTAAAGCCTGTGGGAGTAAAGCCCGCAGACCCTTCATTTGCTGATGGGGCACAACTCAAAATGAAGAGAAACAGCTGTAAACATCCATTGAAAATCAGAACATGGAATGTAT